CAGCGGCGGCGGCCGCGCTCTGTGCCTTCTCTGGGCGCAGCGCCTGGGAGCACGAGATGGGCCGGGCCGATGCTGCCGCCGGAGCTGAGGTCTTGCTTGGAAATCCGAATGAGACACCACGTCAACCAGCGCAGGGAGTCGCGTGAAGACATGAGGGCGCCAGGAGCGCAGGCTGGTCCTTGAGAGCCCGGGCCGGGGGGCCGGGGATGGGGGAGGGGAGGCGCGGGGCCCCGGGAGGGGAGGGGTCGGGAGGCGGCGGTGGAGGAAGGAAAGGAGAGCAGCGAGGAGGCGCCCGAGCTCCCGAGGCGGGGGCTCGGGGTGCGGGTGGGTGACGCGAAGCGCCCCTCCCCGGGGTGCAGGGAGAGCGCTCAGCGCGTAGAGACGCTGCAGGGCTCGCGTCTCCTCCTTGCAGGGTAGATCCAGAGGAATGTGCGGAGCTCCGCGCAGTCCAACCGAAGGGGGCAATCTGAACTTGACCGCGGCGTGCAAGTGGCTTCGTTTCCTTGCCCCGCGCTCTGAGAGAGGGCGCTCTGTCAGGTGGAAGGCTACACTGGGCGTTCTTCGCGCCTGTCGAAGGCTTTCCTTCCTCTTCGATGTCTAGCCCTCTCGTTTTTTTTTCTGCAGGGCAGAAGGCGGTGGCCAGATGAGCTGCTGGCCGGAGTTCTCCTAGCAGTACAAAGGAGAAGTGTGGAGCAGTCGGTGAGGAAAGCTGAGTGTTTGCCAGGGGACGCTGAGAGTGGGGATGAATTTATAGGGCTCTCACTCCGTGACGTGCCCTCCAGTGGCTTTTCTGATTCGCTTTCTGACCTAAACACACATTAGTTTAGTCCCCATGCTGGGCCAACACGGTCTCCAAATATCTGCTGGCTGAAGTCAGAGGTTTTGCGTATCATGTATTACATGGCAGGCAATGAAGAAGGCTTCTGAGGCTGGCCGGCTCCTCAGTCCTAGGCTCCATTTTCATGCTGTTGTAATATAATACCAGACATGGGGTAGGCACATACATTCAAAATCCCAATTCCAGAGGCCTAAGATCACTTTATCAGGAACAGGTCAGGGGAGGTTGGGCTAAATTTGCTTTTATCCAGATTTTCGAAAACGCAGATGGGAAACCTAAGCAAGCACTCCCTTCGGTGTTGAGTTGCCTGTGAGTAGGGACCCAGTTCCCATTCCTGATCTCTGTGAGACCTTTTGGGCATTCCCTTTGTTGGTTAGTTACCACCAGAAGCAGCCAGAGCC